AAGGAGAGAACTAATATAAGGAAAGACCTCATATGAGGCAGCATATCTGTTTAGAAGTTAGAAGCAGCTTAATGTTTTATGAAACCGCGAAGCATGCAGGCTGGAATAGTTGATTATCTTTGTGTCCTCTCACCTACCAAGTTACCGGGTCACTGACCTCTGTGCTGTGGTTGCTTGGATGACTGGGTGTGATCAACTCAAGAAAAGAGTTCTCTTTACCAAATTACTTGAGATTTATCAGCATGGTGCTATAGGGAGAAAACTAACATAACAGCTCATGAGCTGTTTGGGCTTCGTTTCGTTCAGACTTGTGCTTTGATACAGAATATCTGGGTAATTAATTCTGTTTCACTCATGAATTACACCTTACCCCAGAATAAATATAGTGAAAAAAAATCTTTCAGTATTATTTTGTATTAGAAACTGGTTTCTTAATGCATAGTGAGAAAAGGACCCTGACATAAAACAAAGGGCAATTTTGGAGGAGCTCAGCTGGGCCCTGCCAAGCATCCTCATCTTCAGGAGGAAATACTGTCAATCAGTAAAGAGCTGTTCGCTGAGAATGAAAACAGGAGAAGGCTGTCTTGTTGGGGAGGACAGTGTCTCACTGCTGGGCACCAGAGTTTAATCCCTATTTTTAAGGAAAAAAGTACATTAAAAAAAATAAAGGTAGTTAGTTAATACAAGCTTTCTTTTAAAATAATGAGTATAAAGCATTTTTAATTTGGTGAGTTTTTAAATCTTCAAAATAATTTACCAGCTCTTTGCTGTTTTTTTTCCCCAGGTAACAGTTATTTTAAGCCCCATTCTAAGCAGTGGGACCTCCCCACCTGTTGTCTTCCTGGATTTTGGTTTGCTGTGCACTCGGGCTTCCCACTAATCTGGCAAGTTCATACCAGTCTCAGGCCCCTTCCTGGTAGAGGTTGGTGTTCACTGGCGTCAAGAGATACATAGTTCTGGTCCAGCCACTCCTCCAGGCTCTCCCTGAATAAACAGAGCCAGATGCTATGCAGTGTTGTACCTTCACAAACCTCCCTCGTGGAGGAGGGCTGTCCCAGCTCTGTAGATAGATCTTGGGCGTCACCAGCCTGGCAGCCTCCAGGGGAGCCTTTAAGAACACAAACTGTGAACCGGGCATGGTGGCTCACGCCTGTAATCCCAGCACTTTGGGAGGCTGAGGCGAGAGGATTGCCTGAACTCAGGGGTTCAAGATCAGCCTGGGCAACTTGGTGAGACCTCATTTCTACAGTAAACCAAAAAATTAGCCAGGCGTGGTGCTGCATGCCCGTGTTTCCAGCTACTTGGAAGGCTGAGGTGGAAGGATCACCTGAGCCCAGCAGGTTGAGGCTGTGGTGACTGTGAGCATGCCACTGCACTCCAGCCTGGGCGACAGAGTGAGACACCGACTCAAAACAACAACAACAACAAAAACACAGATTGTGACTGTGTCGCCCTCCACCCCATGTTAAATCTGATTGCTCAAGGTAGGACTCAGAAATCCACAAGTCTAAAGAGCTTTTCTGGTAGTTCTGATTCTGCCAGACTATCTTTGGGAGCCAGGGATGGCTTGTGATCCCATTTTGGGGATGGGCAACCATGGCTTAGTGTATGCATAGGCTTTGGAATCCCTTAAGAGGTGCCTTAACATCTGACCTGCAGAGCCTTTGGTCGAGCCTCCATTTTCCTTCTTGGGAAAACTCTCCCAGTGCCTGGGCTTCTGGAGATGTGAATATTGGGGTGACACAGGGAGGGAGTGGAGACAGCACTGTGCAGAGTCTGGCAGGGTGACAGTGAGAGAATGGGGAGGTGGTTAGACTCAGGGGAGTCTTGAGATCCTCCTGCACCCCAGGAATAAGTGAGCCAGGGTCTTTTCTCTGTTCTGCCCTCCCAGCAGAATTTCACCATAATAATTTGACAGATTATACTCAGGCGCTGTGAGAGGGAGGTAGAAACATTCTTTCAGAGAACATTGGAAATGCTTTGAGTTATGATTGAGGTAGAAAGACCCATTTATTCTGCTTCAGGTTCAGCAGAGCCTCCTGAATTTTCTTAAAGATGAGTCATTTTGTGCCTTCCAGATCAATTGCCAGCTGTCGTGCCTCTTAGCAGAGTCAGAGCACAATCAGGAAATGAGTGGCCATTCTCTCCTTCGTATTTCCAGCAAGTTGCAGTTATGGCTGAGCAAGTTCCTGTGCAACTGATGAAGTGATTTGTTAGAGCATTGGAGTCCAGCTCTTCAAGGCCTTCGTTTTCCCCTCCAAGCATAGCATGTGTTTGGCTCGCACAAAAACCGACTGGACCGCTGAGAACATCATTTGTCCCCTGTTTTGTAGAGTAGATTTGCCCTTTATGAGGGTAGTCTGTACACAGGAACTGTGGCGGCATTTGACGTTAGCCAGGGCTGGGAAGGCTTAACTGTTGGATGCTATCGGGGCTGCTTGTGAGTCAGAAAGTTTCATACCACCGGTGAGACCTGATTAGTGCTGTACTCGTTTCTGGAATGACACACAGTTGCTTTATATAAACCACTCTGCATGTTTATTACTTTTTATTGACATTTAAAAATGATGTTCTGGTGTTATTCATCCAAAATAGGAAGCCATACATAATCCAAGCCTACTCTTTTTCCTGCACGTTTTGCAGTTTTGATGTTGCTCTGACACATCTCAGACAACTTACATAAAGAAACTGGGAGCTGAAGATAGAGGCCTTGCTTATTGGGCACCTCTGAGATCCTCTGGCACTGACCCTGCCCCAGCCCCTCCAGGCTCCCCTTGTTGCGAATCAAGTCCACACCCCTCATCTGCTTCTGCCTCAGGACCTAGACTCACAGTTGGACTTTGGAGGGTAGCCTCCAGAGCCCCTCATTTGCAGGTGCAGAAATTGATCTCTGTCCCTCATTTGGCATCTGTGATACTATGTGAGATATCTGGTGTGAAGTTTTCACATGTTTCTGTGAAGATATCTTTGGGACCTTGGCAGCCTTTTAGGAAAGCCAGGCAGCTTACAAAAGCTTAATCAGAAATAATTTGTAGGGGGAAGAAATGAATGTAATATTTTTTTAATCTCTCCGCATATTTATATATACGTGTGTGTGTGTGTGTGTGTGTGTGTGTGTGTGTGTGAGTGAGTGTGCGTGCCAGATATGGGTGGGTGCTTTTATAAAACTTATCTCTTTAAATCCTCAAAACAGCTCTCTGAGTTACATGTGTCTTATGTGTGAGAAAACAGACTTAGAGAGGCAATATGCCTGGCCTGTGGCAAAATGTAAAGACTTTTGTGGCTTTACTCCCACCTGGGTTCCTGAAAGGGTGACAGACAGATTTGTCCTTAGTAGGCCTGGCTTCTTCATGCTTGGTCTCCCCAAGCACAGCTCTGGATAATAAACAGCCCTGAGTCCATCTTTGATAGTTAGCCAGAAGCGTTGGCCCATTTCCTAAACTGGGTCTGAATTTAGGAGATGGGCCCAAGGCTCACTTATTCATTCCATCTGAAATCTACTGGGTACTCATAGTATGCAAGTCACCGTGTTAAATGCCCTGTAGAGGACAACTCTGCCCCTTCGATGGATTCTCCACAAAGCATGTCCTACTTCTCTCTGGCTGTCCCTGCTCTGGACTCCATATTACTTTATTATTTTATTTTATTTTATTTTTTTTTGAGTTGGAGTCTCACTCTGTCGCCCAGACTGGAGTGCAGTGGCCACTCCCGGCCACCACAGCCTCA